TTACTAGTGAACCGTATGACAGTTGTCATTGCCTTGAGGACCGATTTTTGTGCTATAATTTTGCCCGCACTACGGTGTTGAAGTTATTTTTCTTTAATCTAGTTGCACACTGGCGGTCTGCATTCGTAACTTGTTGAAACACCCTCATTTAGTTGCATAAAGAATTCCCAGACTTAACTCAGAAGTCCGTACACAATAAAACCTCTCTGATCTACTACTTTTCAATAAGTGTTTGCTCAGATATTTTCCGAACAGTCTTCTGTGTCCATCAACTTGTGATTCGGCAATACATTTTGCTGACTTGCTTTGTCAGAGTCGGCGAGAGACGTGCTCGTGACTTGAAAAAATGGCTGCTCTCAAAGCATTTACAGAACCGGTCCGACACACTCCGCATTACTTTGGAGCGACTGCGGAAAAATAAGGGGTGGCATCGGTGGTGGTGGGATTCAAACACATCCTCTGGGCTGATTACTTCATGATTTTTACCACTTGGTGGTGTGAAATCCCTCCGATTGGAAATACTGGTCTCAAATCAAATCTGGTCTTCACACCGACCCGGTAGCTTGGAGGTCAGATTTAAGTCAACCGAAGACTCCAGCCACTTAGAGAATGACACTTTATTTGGGACAATTGGAAGGAATGATTCCAAAGCTATGAAGATGCACCGTATTCTGTGTTGGTGCAGGATGAAAACCCACACTAGAGGTGATGCACCAAAAGAGGAGTTATACCGATAGTTGCTGTCTTGTCATAGATCACTTATAACTGCAAGTGGGGAAGCGCAGCATCCACCGGGTTGCAGATTAGGGAATTAAACGTCGCGAATCTGAACAAAACATAATCCCGGAGTGCGGTTCATCTCGGTATACCGAACTGACTATAAAGTTTTGAGGCTTCTGAATAATAACCTCGATCACAGTGTCCATGATGACGTGAACTGCAAATATTCACACTCGCACACGACCGTTTGGAGGTAAAATCGCTAATGAACCCTGTCTGGTTACTGTGTATTGCCAGCAAGTAGAACGATTCCAAGAGCTTCAAGCCATGGGGTATACCGATGAGGAGCCGCGTACCTGTTCGTTTCCAAGCTCTTTTTAATTAACCGTCGTCTCGGATGCTTTATAGTTCGAAGAAGTCTGTTCTGTAAAATTTATGAACACACGCTTCAACCATCGCAGTTTATGGAAATTAAGCTCCTAATTGAGTGCAAGACAACGATCACCCCAATCATTCGTGTAATGTTGCTTGTTCTGTTGGTCTACCAATGGGCCACTCATCTCCGTTGTTATGAAGGACAGCAAGTAATGGTCGATCAGCGTATTACTCGTTTATTTTCTATCTTGATTTTACAAACTAAACATTTTAATAGCTCAGCCACTTTGTGCAAAAATCATAAATATAACGATTTCGGCAAGCGAACATTAAAGGGATATATAGGAAACACGTTCAGTTAAGATGCAATCTATGAGCGTTCCGGTGTCTGGATCCACAATTAGCGTACATTTGTTAAAGGGCTGACAGATGAACCCTCAATTAGTGTCGATAAACGTGACGGCTACAAGAAAGTAACAGAAATCAATCAACCGCCCGCTCGATGGTGATTTTCTGTGTGTGCATTGTGAACATACAAACGGCGTGGTACGGAAAAGAACGCTACACTTCCTAATACGAGTAAATCCTGTTCGGAACGCATTCGAATTCTGTCCTGTGGTGCGGAGTGACTTTGAGATCCTGATAGTGGGTGTTTGACTGGATTATGGGATGAAAACAAATCGGATTGGAAGAACCAAACTGGACTACCTTAACATGAGCGTTGTGTTCCGACAGGAAGTGAATTAGCAGTTCGTATGTGATACATAAGAACAATGGTAAGCGCGGGACGAAACCAGCATAATGAAATGTACGGAGCAAGTGTAACCCGTTGATTGGATGGAAACAGGAGATCAGTAGAGACTGTGTCTAAAACGATACCCCGATTCAAGGAAGAACTCTCACTGAGACAATCAACCGACGAACCAATAGTAATCGTATGATAAGGAAGAATGAGCAACAGATCTCCGTGACCTTGATAGACAAGTTATCAGAAAGCTCATCAACACGGAAGGTGATTTCGGAGGTGTCGAAATGATACAACAGGCATTTAATAGTTAGTTCCCGCACGGGACCAAACCAACTCAATTTTCAACGTGCAAACCTGAAATATAAAAGACCAGGGTGAAGGATATTAGACACGTTTTCTTATGAGATATTTCGTCATAACGATAGCATAGAATGATTCACCGCATCGATCGATTGCGATTTCGCCGAGCAAACACCTCATAAAGAACCGTACAGATGAGCGAACTCTGTTGCTGAATGTACGAGTATGGTGAATCGCTCCTAAGATCTTGCATTTTTTTCTTTATCCCTGGTTGGAGCACGACAAAGCAGCGTCCCGGTTCAAATTAGCACTACCCAAGACGTGAAAAACTGTAGATCACCTATTCCCGAAAAAGGTATACTGCTAATCGAGAGATTGTTAGAAACGCGGGTATTGACAACTCAGTGGATACCAGGATCGCCAATTCGCCAAGAACCTCAAGGTTTCAATGCTTGGTCTACACAGTGAACACCACTGATACGAACAGAACAGTATTGCACAAAAGTAAAAGTTCTGACACTGTACATTGTCCGATGAGATCTGGTCACATTTCACGTTCATTGATTCAGAAAGACACAAAACCAATCAGATCCAAGTGCAGCAAGGGGAAGTGAGCCTTGCAGTGCAAGCTCAATGCGTGCATTCGAATAACAATGTTGAGCGGTAACAAAAACGCGCACCACCATGAAGCACCGGAAAGACGGCAGAAACCGAGACCCGGATTGTGCCACACATCAGTCGAAGTCAGCAGTTTGACAGACCCTTGTTGTCAAATTCCAAATGTTGTACAACATTTCTCGTATGTCGAGCGAACAAATTAGGGTATTCAACGTACACAAACGGACCGTGTGTGTTCGTGGGAGATGAACAGAGCGGAATTTCCGTTGTATACGGACGGGGGCACAAAAAGAAACGAATTGCGTGAGGGAAACAAAAAGGGACAGTGTCAATGTGCACTTTGAAACAACGAAAATTGTCCCGCGATAGGGGAGGGGACGGGGAGAAGGAATCTGACTGAATGACTGTTGTTTAAAAATTAGATAAAATGCGCGGAGCGAAAATCAACAGGGTCATGTGGACGGTCGAAGAACTGGTACGTGTGTGTGTGTATGAAGCTGGAACAGCGTGAAAAGGAAAAACAGCAGTAGTCGATAAAATAGTAATAGCAACGGTGTTTGCACACTGGAGAAAGATGTGTGCAGAAAGAGAGGGGGAGAAAACAAGTAAAGGTAAAGAAAACACCGGTTCTTGAGAGCGTGGATAGGAGAGAGAAAGCGAAAATAAATGGCAAGTAAACCCACATTAAGCCATTACTTTTCTATTCATATCGACAGTAGGCTGGAGGGAAGGATGCGTCAAAAACGTGGATTACAAATTACGTAAGCATGCTTTTGATGGATGAGAACTGATAAGATAAGGGGGACAAACGGACCATGAAAAAAGGGTTAACAAACGACAAAGGAGAAGTGAAGTGACGACCGACGGATTGAATCGAAACCGAACTGTTACACATATGAGAGAGAGAGTTTGTTGTCGGATCGCGCAGTGGAATGCTGGACATCTGTTTCGTTGGAATGAGACCCAGAAAACACAGCCAGTGTTCAGGTGAAACTTGAGTGAAACGAGCGCGTCCGAGGAAGAAATCAGTCGGATCCCGCAGTTTCACACTTCTAGGCCGGCTATGTCACACAGACAGCTTTCGCGAACGAGTGGAAACAACGGAGAGGGAGAGATCAACATTCGCTCAGACGCTGACGCATCTGTTCCACGTAGTTAGGTAAAACCATGGACGCTACAAAGTCCACAGACAGATAATCGTGACAAGCAAACTTCCATGTCCATAATTTGGCCAGCACCTCAAATCGTCCGATATCGTGTGTGTACAGTGCCCCAATGACCGGTTCCATACAAACTTTGGTGTATGGATCCGTAAGCAAAGATTGGACACTGATAAGCAATTTCTCCAGGGTGAGAGCCAGACTCCAGTTGTGCTGAATGCAATCCATACCCACATCACCATGGAAACTGATATTGGGATGCAGAATACGAGTGAGGAATCGGATCACAGGTGGACGAATCGGATAACTGTCCGGGACTAAAACGTGCACATAAAACAGACCACCCTGATACGGGGATTGGGGCGGACCCTCGATTCCGGCCAGACAATGTGAATAGGTTTCCGTGTCCAAAGCTAGTACACGAATTCCATAAGGTGGATCGGTGCACAGATTTTTGATTTCGTGCACAATACGACGATAGCGCAAATTCGGTGCCTCAACCGGAAATAGGATCGGGAATCGGAGCCGTTCCAGACAGAAACGGCATGTCACACTGTTCATTAGGTT